GTCCACTTGTCTTTCTCCTGTCCCTCAGTGTCCACGTGTCTTTCTCCCTCAGAGTTCAATAGAAAGGTCTGGACACGCTGCCGAGGTGCTGATGGGGATCAGTTCAGTTGCATGTCCTCACATGAATGGCAGCAGAAGGGACGTGCAGGAATGTTTCCCAGCCTTTCTTTGACTGTGGCACAGGTGGAGCGGGGACACTCACCTGGACAGACGGATGTGAGGGCTGCACAGAGTGGGGCCTCGCTGCCCCACGGCCCGTCTGTCCCTTCAGGTTCTGTAGCAGTTTGGAGCAGCTGGACTGTGTTGTGCTGAGGTGTGGGGTTCCCGCCCTCTGTCATTATGTAATGGAGCGCAGCCATTTGCAGCAGGCGTGTTACAAACAGGCACGTTACAAACAGGCACGTTACAAACAGGCGCGTTACAAACAGGCGTGTTACAAACAGGTGCGTTACAAACAGGCACGTTACAAACAGGCGTGTTACAAACAGGTGCGTTACAAACAGGCACGTTACAAACAGGCACGTTACAAACAGGCGCGTTACAAACAGGCGTGTTACAAACAGGCGCGTTACAAACAGGTGCGTTACAAACAGGTGCGTTACAAACAGGCGCGTTACAAACAGGCGTGTTACAAACAGGCGCGTTACAAACAGGCGCGTTACAAACAGGTGCGTTACAAACAGGTGCGTTACAAACAGGCGTGTTACAAACAGGCACGTTACAAACAGGCGCGTTACAAACAGGCGCGTTACAAACAGGCGTGTTACAAACAGGCGCGTTACAAACAGGCGCGTTACAAACAGGCGCGTTACAAACAGGCGCGTTACAAACAGGCGCGTTACAAACAGGCGCGTTACAAACAGGCGCGTTACAAACAGGCACGTTACAAACAGGCGTGTGCAGCAGCAGCGTGCCTCGTGATAGACGGACGTGATGCTGAATATTTACAGTGAACTGCATTCATCTTCAGAGCTTCTTGTACCGTTGCTTGGTCTGATGAGCGCTGCTGTGTGCACGTCTTGTGCTCACCTTGTCTGTGTGTGTGCACGTCTTGTGCTCACCTTGTCTGTGTGTGTGCCCGTCAGGCCAGGTGAGCCGCTCCGCCCTGAAACAGCCGCGCAGCTGTAACATCTTCAAAGCTCTTTTCTGCTGCCTCCAAGTCCAGGATGGCCCCAAACCACCACTGCCACCAGCGTCCCAGCAGCCCCTGCTGGAGTCACAGGAGAATGGGACGGTTGTCAAGGTAACACAAAGACTTCACCTCACTTCTGCCTTTTTGTTTAGGAATCGTGGTTTCACCTCCACAGACGTCATCATGAGGAGAGGCTGAGTCAGGCAGAGCGTTGTTTTTTACGGCTGCGCGCTGAAACCACTGCTGCTAACGTCACACTTCAGCCACGCAGGGAGCAGAGCGTCGCTGAGCGAGTGCCGGGCCTGCAGGGGCTGGATGAGTGAGAGCGTCCCCCGAAACACTCAGAGGGAAAAACTCCTAATGAAAAGCTAAATGACTGCTGAAAAGTGCAGAAGCAGCTGGGACTGAGTTGGTAAAGCTAAAAAAGCAGAACAAGAGCTAAAATGGCCACATGCTGCTAAGCCGAAGCTAACAAGAGCATGAAAATGACAACTAAAATAAGTAAAACTCTAGCTACATGCCAAAAGTAACAGCAAAAAGCTAGCTAACAGCTTAAATAGCAAAAGGTTAGCTGAAAATAGCAAAGGGCTAGCTAAAATTATAAAAAAATACAGCGAGAAGTTAAAAGTAGCGAAAGGCTAGACAGTTGCTAAAATAGCTAAAGTTTAGTTAGCGTACAGGGAAAACTTGCTAAAAGTTCAAATCTGCACAGGAGGCAACAAAAGAACGAGCTGAAAGATGTTAAGGAAGGAAACAACGTTTCTCATGCCACTACCGTACGTTCCAGCGTATAAGTCGCAGGTTTTTTTAGCCAGTCCTGCGACGTGTGTGTGTTTCCACGTTCAGAACGCAGTTTTTATCGACGACGCGTTAAATGTTGGCTCATGCCGACATGAACCAGAGTAAAAGGCTTTCGACAACTCCCAGTATGTTGCTCCAGTAGCACTGGCCCCGCCAAACATCGACCTTTAAAAGTTCAGCTGGGACACGCCTTTGCTATAATGGCGAGCAAACGAATCGTTTTTAAGTGTTGATCTTGTTAAATTTCAAAGAACTGCAACAGCGAGGCCTCACGTGCACGCTCCTGCAGCCGCCAGTCCATTTTGGGCAGGACACCAGCCCACGTTTCCCGGGGGGTCAGCAGTGACACGTAATAAATGTGACTTATATGCTGGAAAATCTGGTAATTGATCTTGATGTAATTTTACTGGTAAATATTTCTAAACAAAGTAAAATGTACACGGCTCCGCAGGAGGACTGCTGCAGGTGAAGTCACGTGTCGTTATGAAGCACATTAAAAACTGTGAGCCTCACGGACGATCCGAGCTAAACATTTTAAACATGACCAAAAACAAAAGCCATAACATGCACGAACATTTCTTATAAAATATAAATGGCTCAAACAGCTCAGTTTGCTGAACGGTTGAAGTGTTCAAAAATAAAAGCGCAGGAGCGTTGAATGAGCATGTGCACGGGAAGCTGTGAGCGCCGGGCTCACGCTGTCCCTGTTGGAGGGGAGGTCATGAGCTGCTTTGGTCCATCCAGCGCCGCCACCAAACGTCCAAATGCCCGGCGTCCGCGTCCAGGACCTCATCCCAACAAAACCAGATCAAACTGGGGGGCTCTGGCCTTTATGCTTCTCACAGAAGACATCTTTATTTTTCTTTTCCTAATGGCTAGCTGTTTCACTTGTGTAATTTATTCATAATTAATTTAGAAAGACAAAATAAAACCAGGAAAGCTTGATGTCTGCTAGTTCTGTTGTTTTCACTGCACGTACGTTTCTGTCATGTACAACATGGTAACTCTGACACGGAGACATATTTATACACTTTCAGTACAACAGCTGGTTGTGAATCCAGTGAAGCTCGTGTTTGAATGTAAGACGGCAGGTTTGGTTTTAATCTGAGGAGAGTTGTGCTTCTCGGGCTCTGAGGTGTGTGTGTGTCTCCTCAGCAATCTGAAGTCAGCCTCCTGCCTCAGGTCAAGACCCAGGACCAAGGGAAGGTCTGCGTGGTCATAGACCTGGATGAAACCCTGGTTCACAGTTCATTCAAGGTACAAACACGCCACACTTTACCGCTGCACACAGCTGCACACAGCTGCACACAGCTGCACACAGCTGCACACAGCTGCACACAGCTGCACACAGCTGCACACAGCTGCACACCGCTGCACACAGCTGCACACAGCTGCACACAGCTGCACACAGCTGCACACAGCTGCAGTTTGGAAGTGTTGTTGCACACAGAATGTTTGATTGTTTCTGCCCCGGATATTTTATGTAACAGACAGTTTTTCCCCTAAACGCACGTGTGCACCAGGAGCTCTGGGTGAACTCTGTTCCACTGGTGGAGGCTGTGCGCGCTGATTTATGACTGGGCTGCGTCTCGTCTTATGTAACGCCATGTGAACGTACAGTGCAGCTCCAGTGATCCACCCGTCTCTGCTTTCTGCTTCTAGCCCATTAGCAACGCTGACTTCATCGTACCCGTGGAGATAGAGGGGACCACACACCAGGTAAACCAGGGTTGTGAGTGTGCGCCTGCGTGCGTATGTGTGTGTTGATGTTTTTGCAGCAGCTGTTGAGCTGAAAAGGGATGGGTCCTTGTAGGCATTGTCCAGGTTTCAAACACGGTGCGCAGATCCCTCTACTGGCCAGACGATGAACAAAAACACAAAATGTCTCCAGTGACGCCAATAAAACGTCGTCCTTTCACCTTTTTCTGCTTTAGAAAAGAATCCAGCTGGACGGTCCTGTACTCGTCTCCCTGCTGGTCATGTGCAGTTGTATTTAGGTCAGAAATGTGACTCCGGGGACCTCGTGATCCTCAGGGCCTCTGCCTGGTTCAAGTAATCCAGGATAGGCTGGTTAACTCCAGCACGGCCTGTTCTTGATTACTTGTTTCAGGAAGTGGCCACAAGCAGCCAGCTGTTGGAAATGAGAGTGCACGTGCGTCACCACCGTGCGGTGCTCACTGACGACCTGTCTGTGTTTCAGGTGTACGTGCTGAAGAGGCCGTACGTGGACGAGTTCCTGCAGAGGATGGGAGAGATGTTTGAATGTGTTTTGTTTACAGCCAGTCTTTCCAAGGTACTGGAGCAGTTTTATTCACCAACAAAATGTAACGTTTGATCATCAGATGATTTATGGGCTGTTTGCTTCTGTCTTTTTAATCTAATTAATGAGTTGGTCACCTGGTTAGACACCCTCCAGCTGTTAATGACACCAGATAGTTCTCTGAGGTTGCACAACTGCTGCGGGCGTGATTTGTGACATCACAGACACGGAAGAGTCGGTTTTCAAATACAGAAGTAAAATAACAAAGTTAAGACAGGCCCTCTGCACAAACTTATTCTTTTAAACTTGTTAAAATGTTTCGTCTTTTATCCAGAAGACTTTGTCAGTCAGAATTTTCAATTTATTTTTAATTTGTCCAGAGGACCTGATTGAACTTTGTTGTATTTTTCTCCCTGGATTATCGAGCAGCGTCAGGACAACAGACTTTTGTTCAGTCGGTGCTCCACAGCATAGTCCCAGTAGTTCTCCTGACTTCCTGCAGTACCAACGAGCCGCAGTCCAGCTGTTTTCAAATCTCTTTCATCTTGTCTTCACCAAACCCTGAAAAACATGTCTACATAACAGCTGAAGTAACGCAACGTGACTGTCTTTAGGTCTTCATGTTCACTTTTATATCAGTTTATATGCTAAGCTAACATGTGCTAACTGTCAGTCATTAGCCTGTAATAATGTTTTTATACATATAGTTTTGTTCCTTCTTTGTTAGGCATGACATTTGTAAAGCCATATTTATGCAAAATGCACGTTAGTCTTTAAGGTTTAGGATTTTCATCATCAAGTGTTTTATAATGAAACATTGGTATCTAGATATAGATCTATAGATATAGATCGTAACTGCATTGAGTGACAGGCGTCTACAGATGTCCACTCCTCATACACGTGATAACTAGAAAAGTGTCATTTCTACAAAAATCCAGCATTAACGTTGAAAGCTGGACGACTTCTCTAACTAGCTGAAGGAGCTGAAGTTAATGCGTTAAAGCAAAAAGAAGCCGAACACGAGCTAAAGGCATGTCAATGAGGACAAGAGGGAAATGGGAGTTGTGGACTAAAATCTAATAAACCAACAACATTCTGTTAAAGAAATGTCCAGCAGGTGTAGAAAGAGCTTCATTAGCCTCTCCTTGCACACACCCCACCCCCGCTCCCCAATCTACCCCCATCAGTATGCAGACCCAGTGACTGACCTGCTGGATCAGTGCGGTGTGTTCCGGGCCCGGCTTTTCCGGGAGTCTTGTGTGTTCCACCAAGGTTGTTACGTGAAAGACCTGAGCCGTTTGGGGAGAGACCTCCACAAAACCCTCATCCTGGACAACTCCCCCGCCTCCTACATCTTCCACCCGAACAACGCGGTGAGTTCCACCTGTTTCTTGGATCTTTTCTTACCCTTCTTTGTTTTTTGGGGGTGGAGGTGATAAACCAGTGCAGCCAGTTCAGCTCGAGGCAGCTGGATATACAGTTCTGTCTTATCGAGGAAGAAAGCATCAAAAAGATTGTTGCCAGTAAAATAAATAAAAGGAAGAGTAAGTTCTTATGTTGCAAAAAGTTTTTAAATTCCTCAAGTAGTCAGGAAGTTTTCAGTCAGCCTGGACAGGTCTCCAGTCCATGACAGGGACACAGAGACAAACGAGACGACCGTTCTAGAGACAATTCAGAGTCACCAGTCAGCCGAACATGCATGTTTTTGGTCTGTGGGAGGAAACTGGAGCACCTGAAAACCCACACGTGCACGGAGAGCACATGCAAACTCCACCCAGAAAGGCTGAGAGGTGACCGCTGTACCAGCTGCGTCACCGTGCTGCCGTCCCACTGAGCTCCACACATTTTAATGAAACCCACAGAAATGAACGACTGTCTCTACAGCCCATGAACTTTTGAAGTCACACAATTCAAGATGGCTGACGGCCAACTGACTGTAAAACACTAAAGTAGCCGTAAGTCAGTTAATTCTAATACTGTGGTGTAGTAGCTGACAGTGATCCCCCACGGGTTCTCTGAGCCCAGTTTAGTCTGGCAGCGGGTGATAAGCATTCTGTCTTTGTTGAAAAGTGTTTTGTGTTTGTTCTTTTTCTGGAACGGCTCAGGTTCCCGTGATGTCGTGGTTTGATGACGTGGACGATGCTGAGCTGCTCCACCTCCTGCCCGTCTTTGAGGAGCTCAGTAGAGCCGACAACGTTTACACCCGGCTGGATGAGCTCCGAGGACATTAGCTTGTTAGCGTGTTACGCACAACATGCGCGCTTAGAAAACACTGACAGCCTCTCGGGCTCAGCTGCAACACTCGATCACACGATGAGGCCTTTCGGATGGACCTCACCGATGACGATAAACACAACCACTTTTTTGAAGCACTACACTACAGAAAGGCAGACGCACGACAGGCAAAGCAGTCCCGTCACGCCAGTCTGATCATGGCAGTAGGTGTTTGGCCAAAGCAGATGCCGCCCTCGCTTCACTTCTGGATATTGTCTGTTTTGTTACTGTGCCTTCTAAGGAACGACAGAAGAAATCTGCTCTTTTTTAATTTCCACCAGATTTTATACTGTTGTTGTTTTTTTATTATAAAGAAATCTATTTTTAAACTGTAAATGTGGTTCTTCTATGCAACCCACTTTTCTAATAACATGATTAGTACCTCTAAAGCAGGAAGTTAAGGATAATGATGACAGATGATAATGTTACTGTAGACTTTTAATGACTTGTACGTGGGCATCAAGGTTTAAGTGCGTGTTACTTCTTCGTATTATAACCTATAAAACATGCAATATTTGTATTCAGATTGATACATTTAGTTACATTGGGTAAACGGCAAACATTTGGCTATGGTCCTTTGTAAATAGAAACACTGGATTTGATGGCACATAGGACGACCATAAACATTAGTTTAAGTAAGGAAAAAAGAAAAGTGTTTGTCTTCTCTGTTTTTGTGCGACAACTTGCACTTGTTCGATATTGACAGTGCTGAAAGTAAAAGACCCTGTGCCTTTTGGATTTGGGACAGGACAGTGTTCAGCCTGACAGAGATTTGGAGGCAGCGCTCCAGATCAGGGCTGATGCCACGGGCTCTGGTACTTATTACAGGTCAACACTTGAACATGTCGACGCTGATGTTTTTCCATGCGTAAGTGTTTTTCTTTTCTTATTTATTGGCTACAATCTTGTAACAGTTCTTACTGCTTATTTTCTGGTTCGTTTAGCCTCCGTTGAGGCTGGCCTTGTGCTCATCTGTGCCTCGAACGTGGAGCTGTCCATGTCAACGGACAAACTACAGTCAATGAAATCTGGGAGTTTTTCTTGTCTTTTTCATTTAGTACAACCTTTTTTGTGGGGTTTGTTTCTTTGGTAGGACGTTTTTTTTCTGTTGCATGTTGATGAGAAAATATGACAAAGAAAGGGTGTGATGACCAAAAGTATTTAAGTTGTAAATGTTTTTGCATATCGTTGAAAAGCCTCCAACTCATTTTGTATATTAGTTCTGACCAAAACGATAAAAAGGTGCTACCAGTTTTCATCTTGAAATAAAGTTTGGGTATATTTTACAAATGTGTGTGTTTTTATCCTCGGGGACTCTCAGCAACACAGACTCTGTTTGAACCCATATTTTATACATGAATTAAACAATATAGAGGCTAAAGTATCGATTCAACTTCAAAGTATCTGATCTTTAATAGTATGAAGTGCACTCGCATACACATGAAAGTCCAGTCCGTCATTGAAACTGGACCCATCGCATGTTGTGCGCTTGTGCTGAGAAATGGATGAAAGTTGTTCCGGCACGAGCTGGTGAAAACCGGCTCGTCCTCTGATGGCAGCGCCGCTTCACTACAGACGCCATCTTAGGTGATCCGTGCCGAGCCACACGATGCGTTTCATCGTTCCGCCCGTCGACAAACAGCTGTAAAAAGAAACATCTGTCAAGGCTCAGAAGTAACGCAGTTACTTGAGGCCGTTCAACCACCCGGAGCTCGGACAGCTGCACGCGCTCGCTCGTTCTGGGCGTTTCCATGGTGACATCAGCAGGCTCGCGCTGATCGACACGTAGTGTTTGTTGAACGCTAACCGTCAAAGGGAAGGCAGCTGTAGTTGTCCCTGCGCACACAGGTGGGTTATTTTTCATCATATGTTCGGGTCCATTCGTTTTCTTGTCGGTAAGAATTCTACAACGAACGTTTTCCGCTGAATAATTCTGGAAACGTCGAATTGTGTTGTCAGGCTAGCACTGTTAGCTTGCTATGCTAGCGCTGACAGGGTCAACACTAGCTAGCGCAGTTTGTTAGCAGCTGACGCTTCTGTCCTCCTCTGTTTGGACTGATCTATACAACAGGTATATGTTTTGCCTATCGACCAAATGTAAATGTTCGTACATCTGAACAGCTTTTGAGCCTGCAGCTGCTGCGTGCTAGTCACCCGCTGCCATTTGAGGCGAAGCCGTAACGTAATCACGAACGACGCGGTTCGTTTTTACAACTTTCACTGATGAAGCTCCTGTTCAGTGTGAGGAAATGGCTGCTTCTAAAGAAACTACTGTGGTTGAGCTACAGTAAGCACATTTGAGTGTTTTTGGAAAATAACCAATTCCTGCTTCTTTACGTCAAGATAAGTAATTGACTTTAACTTCAGGCAAAAATTAAGAGTCGTTTGCTTGAAAAATGTTCGAGCTTGTGTTTAGTTAATGTAGCTTCATGTAGTTGTGGGCAGTATGTGAACCCTTTATGAAGCTAGCTGTAGTTCATAAACACGTTGTGGCTAAATACTATCATCAGTTTGTTTTAACCCAAGAGTGTGTTTTACAGTAGACTACCTTGTGTTGCTCATTGACAGATGTTTGAGTCCTTTGACCTACTCTCATGTAACTGAGTCCCCGGGCTCAATGGGACTAACCTGTCTAAATAAAGGTTGAATGAATGAACATACCTAAACCTTAAATATAATAATGCAGGAAATTGTATTTATGGACCTAAAAAAGTTAAATCTGGTCCTCTGGACATTAAAACAAAAACAAAAAAAAACAAAGCAAATCAACAAAAAATGTAGAAATGTTTCGTCTCTCATCCGAGAGACTTCCTCAGTCTGAGGAGCTGTATTCAGCTCAGTCTCTTAAATAGCACCTTCTCAGAG